TTGTCGGGGTGGGGGTGGAGGGCATAAAGGTGACAGGCTCTAGCACAAGGAAGTGCTGAGAACCGTTGGCAAATGCTTCTGGGAACAGCCTGGGGTAAGCTAAGGAGAGCACTTGCGTCAGGGCAGAGGCCACTCCGGATCCTTTCAGTTAGCTGAGGCAGACAGATGCCTGCTTCCCTGTGGTAGAGGGACAAAGTTGTCTTCATTCCTTAACTGAAGGGTGAGGCAGTGCTGGACAAGAACAGATGCCTGGAGGCTGAGTGGGGAGTGAAGTGGAGGAGGAATAGGACCCGGTGAGTATCCGGGAGGCCTGCAGGGAGGACAGCAATTTGCACCCTTCGGCTGTAGCTATAGTGGGTGAAGTTGAAGTCCTGAGAGATTCAGGCATACATGGTGAGCTGCAGCCACTGAAAGAGGAAGCACCAAGATCAGAACACACACAAGAAGACAATCAGCGGAGGGAATTTACAGAGGAGAAAAGGAACCACCCGAAGGTGGGTGGACACTAGGAAGATTTTCTAAGAAGCAGCTATTTACTAAATCCTTTCCGCCAGATCTCCTCTGGAAACATCGTTCCCCAGCATAAAGTCGCTTTGAGAACTGAGGTCCTAGTACACGATCCTGTGAACCATATTCCCCACGGAGCTGCCCTTTCTATTTCTTTGCAAACCCACCCCGCCACCACCATTTGGAAGTGAGCTCCACACTCTCACTGAGAACTTCAGTCTGCCTCACTGACTCCTTCACCTTAAATTTTAAGGTGTAGGTGGCGTGTACTGCTGCTTTTAGGCTTTACCTCAAGAACGTTGAGTTTGATGATACCGTCTCCATCCTTGTCGAATGCATTAAAAGCTCCTGTGTAGAAGAATGCACAGACCAGAGGCCAGTTAGAGGCCTCACTACTGTAACTGAAGAGCAGTTAAGAGAACCTTGCACCAAGTGCCACCTGTCAGCACAAAGCCCTGCCAGGTGCAGGGTCAATGATGGTCCTCCCTTAGCCATCCCATTCTGACCCTTCCCCTCTATTCAGTCTGGACAGAGCAGATTGGAGGATGATCAGGCTGAGATTTGCACTGGGAAACACATGAGAACAAGAAGGCAGCCCCCACTTACTGAACATGCCCTCCAGCCTGACGAAGCAGCAGATGAAACTGTCAAAGTCGATGTTCATGTATTTGTCTGCATACCGCATAGTGATGATGTCGTAGAGCTGGCTGTTGAGGTGGAATCCTGCACACAGCAAGAAGCAGAGTTAGAGTCCTTAGGCCTGCCTCTTTTCCCTGCCTCTTGACCACTCTGGCCTGGGAGAGGAAAAGAAGAAACCTCCTTCCTCTTTCTCTTCTAGGGCCCTAGCGGCCTAGTCCTCCCCTCCCATTCCTTTACCACCTGGTCCCCTGAACATTCCAGTCTTCCCCAAAACCCCCAGCACCTGCATCGTTGACTGCATTTCTCATCTCATAGCTGTTGATGGTACCAGAGTGGTCTGTGTCATACTTTTTGAAAATTTTCTGGCAACAGAAAGTTTGAAGATAGAG